GGCGCTCTGCCTCTCCCCCTGGCTGATGCTACTCCTCCAGCTCATCTAAGACATCAACGAACATGCGATCGACCAACTCGGCGTTGAGGCACCCGGCCTGGCTGTCCAGACCGATGGCCAGCAGGAGGTTCCTAAACGTATCTAGGGCCTGCTGGAGTGACCCAGAGTTGCTGAACTGCTGGGGCGGGAACTGAACCTCTTCTAAGGCCCAGTTGACGTCATATCTGGAAATGCTGGTCACACTTTCTTGACACCGAAATTCGTGATATTTTCGTTGCGGCGTGACCTGGTGATACGGATATTGGTTCCGAATCTCGTTGCACTTGCCCGCGAAGAAGGCCTTAGTTTCCTGCGCTTTGCCCCTGAGCCAGATCAGAGGTTTCGCCAGGGAGCCCCAAACCCAAGACTTCTGGTGCTTCTTCTGGAAGGCCGTGGCGGGGGCCCATTTCACCGTAGGAGGTTTGCCGCGAAGAGGCGGTTGACGAAGTTGCGTATCCGTGCTCCTAGCAATTGCCTGCTCCATGTCCTGGACCAGGGCCTGGTACGCGGCATCCAGGGCTGCTTGCTTGGTTGCCATGCTGTGCTTGACCACCTCGCCTTCCTCTGTGAACAACATCTCCTCCGCCTTGACTCATCGCCGCCGTCGCTGCCGTCCAAGGAAGATGCTGCAGGGGAGGGCCGAAGGGGAAGCCGCGGGGGAGCTGCTGAGGCTGCTGCAATACTGGAATAAAAAACTGCCCACTTTTCAGTTCCAACTGCACTACTCTGTGCGGGGCCAGGGGGTATTCAAGGACGCTGGTCTCTACCACTCTGTCATCCAAGGCTTCTGACACGAGAAACTAATCCAAGATCGACCTGCTCGTCTTGGCAACATGTGTGGGCTTAGCAGTACTATGAATCCGAACTGTCGCTCTCACCACAAAGTCTGACTGCAACAAGGTGGTCGGAGTAAGGTTAAAGTCACCTCCCATCATCATCGGCATCTGGCACTGCTGCTGGATCTCTCCCGCTGCTGCTAGCCACTGGGCATTTCTCTGAGACATCCCCTCCGAGTCATAGAGATAGATCGAAACAACTGCCAGCTGGCCTAATCCAGGTGCCTCCACAGCAACTGCTGTCAGGCGATGGGGACTTTCAAGATGAGGTAGTGTGGTAGAACGAAGATGAGGTAGTGTGGTAGAACGACCACCTAAGTCAAGACCTGCTCGAATCAAGATCGCGGTGCCCCCCGAGGGGCGCTCTTGGTCTGTCGAGCGAGCTGGCGTGACGATAGCATGCCAGCCCTGAGAGCTGGCCCATGTAGTAGCCGATGTTATTGCCTCTGGTTGCCAGAGGCGTATTTCTTGCGCTAGCACAATGCCGACGGGTCCTGCAAAAGGAGAGGTGACACAATCTTTTACTGCCCTCCAGCAGCTGCCGTTTATGGTCACAACCTTGAGGCTAGTATTACCCACCTGACGGGCCAGCCGACTGAAGTGCATCACGATGCACTCGGAGTCTCTTGAGGATGGCCTCGTCAGCATCGGACTTGCCCTCCATGCTTTGGACCAGCTTTTCAAGGTGAGCTGCCAGGCTCCGCTTCTTAGTGGCATCGGCCTGATCCATGAGCTCAACCATCCATCTCAGCTGGGGAATCTGGAATAGGGTCATTAAGTCCGTCACCGTTACCGCCGTTGACTGCTGCCACTGCTGGGGCTGCCGTTGCTGCTGACTGCTGGGGCGGAGGCTGCTGAGGTTGGAGGGAAGGCTGAGGCTGCTGCTGCTGCTGCGGCTGCTGTCCTCCTGCTGCTCCTCGGCCTTCCTCTGGCGCTCCCTGCCCCTCCGCCCTCCCTGCCGCGTTTGCCCCCTCGGGTGGAGGCTCGGCGGGCGGAGGCACGTCGGCGCGGGGCGCCGCGGGGGCGGCGGGCGCGGCGGGCGCGGCGGGAGGCGCTCTCCGCTGTGCTCCGTCCGCCCCTGCTGCCGTCTCTGCCGCTCCTCCTCCTGGGGCTCCTCCTCCGCCTGCTCCTCCTCCTGGCCGTGCTGCTGGGGCTGCTGCGGCTGTTGCTGCGTTCTGCTGCAACTGCCTGGCCTGCTCCAGCTCTCGTACCATAACCCCCATAGCATCCTGGAGGACCTGTGTAGGCTGATACCCAGGGAGAGTGGGGAGGTGAGACTGGACAAAGGAAACAACTCCTTGCTGTACTGAAAGCTCTGCTGCTGCTGCATTCCTCGTGACAGTAAGCTGAGCCTGGAGAGCCGTGATCTCCTGTTCGCACTTGTTGAACTCTTGTTCGCCCTTTGAATGTTGCTCGAGCAACTGGGCAACTTGTTCCAACAACTTCTTATTACTGGCGTCCAACTTGGCTCTCTTTTTCCGTTGGGCATCCAACTGATCAACCAGGCTCGTAGTTTGCTCCCCCAGGCTCCTCGATGCCAAAGCCGCCCGTTTGGCTTGCTGAAGCTCCTGGGTAGCTGCCTTGATGAGGGGGTGCTCCTGGTCGAGTCCTGAACGACGGAGGAATGAGAGGTGGTCCTGGGCGAAGGTGACAGCATCAGGGCTGCTGTTGGCAGCAGCCGAGGCTGCTGGGCCTCCTCCTCCTCCTCCTCCTCCTCCTCCGTCTGCTGCCGCTGCCGCTGCTGGGGGGGCTGATTGCTGGCGCCCCCCACTCCCTCCCCCAACGCCTGCAGGGGGGGGAGGGCGGCTGCCAGAGCGCCTGCCCCAACGCCCGTGGCCTGGGGGGCCACGGGCGTGGGGCTTGGCCTCCGGTTTGGCTTTGGGGGCTGGGGTCTGCAAAACGAACTGCCCTGCCGAAAGGGGACCCACAGTCCCCACAAAATTGTGCCCGCCGATTTGCCCAGATCCATCCTGAGCACTGCGGGTTACTGCACTGATGGAAGGCGCGCTGGTCTGCCATGGCTGACACACGAGATGAAGAAACTTCACCACCAAAACTGTGAGGCCAGGGGGACCGCGGGGGCGCGCGGGGCGCATGCACCTGTTGCTGCTCGAGCGGAGGTTGGGAAGTTAAGGATAGGTTTAACCCCAACCTTGAGCCAAAATGGCTACGGAGGAGGAGGAGGAGGAGGAGGAGGAGGAGGCCGGAGGAGGAGTAGGAGGAGGAGTAGGAGGAGGAGGAGGAGGAGGAGGAAAGGAAAGAGGACAGAGGAGGGAGGAGAGAGGAGAGAGGAGAGAGGAGAGAGGAGAGAGGATAGAGGACGAGAAGAGAGAGGATAGAGGAGAGAGGAAGAGGAGAGAGGAGGGAGGAGCGAGGAGAGAGGAGAGAGGAGAGAAGAGATAGGAGAGAGGAGAGAGGAGAGAGGAAGAGGAGAGAGGAGAGAGGAGAGATGATAATGGACAGAGGAGAGAGGAGAGAGGCGAGAGGCGAGAGGAGAGAGGAGAGAGGAAAGAGGAGAAGGAAGAGGAGGAGGAGGCGGATGATGATGATGATGATGCTGCTGCTGATGATGATGATGATGATGATGATGATGATGATGATGATGCTGATGATGGGTGAGGATGATGTGCTAATGATGATGAATGCTGATGATGATGATGTATGATAAATGATGATGATGATGAAGATGATGATGATGCTGATGATGATGATGCTGATGATGATGATGACGATGCTGATGATGATGATGAGATTGATGATGATGTGATGATGCTGATGATGTGATGATGATGATGATGGATGATGATGATGATGATGATGAGATGTGATGATGCTGATGATGATGATGCTGATGATGATGATGATGATTGATGATGATGATGATGATGAGGAGGAGGGAGGATCAGGTAGGAGGAGGAGGAGGAGGAGGAGGAGGAGGAGGAGGAGGAGAGGGGAGGAGGCGGAGGCGGAGGGGAGGAGAAGGGAGGAGGAGGAGGAGGAGGAGGAGGAGGAGGAGGAGGAGAGGAGGAGGAGGAGAGGAGGAGGAGGAGGAGGCGGAGGAGGAGGAGGAGGAGGGGTGAGGAGGAGGAGGGCGTAGGAGGAGGAGGAGGAGAATAAACAAGGAAAAGGAGGAAAGATGAGGCGGGGGAGGGGAGGGGGAGGAGGAGGGGGAGGAGGATGTGGCGAGGCGGAGTCGGAGGCGGGGGCGTAGGCGGAGGCGGTAGCGGGGCGGAGGCGGAGGCGGAGCAGAGGAGGGCGGAGGAGAGGAGGAGGAGGTTGATGGAGGAGAGGCGGAGGAGAGGAGGGCGGAGGAGGCGGAGGGAGGAGGAGGAGGAGGAGGCGGAGTCGGAGGCGGAGGCGGAGCGGAAGCGAGTCGGTCGCGGAGGCGGAGGCGGAGGAGGATGCGGAGGAGGAGGAGGAGGAGGAGGAGGAGGAGGAGGAGGAGGAGGAGGAGGAGGAAGAGGAGGGGGAGGAGGAGGAGGAGGAAGAAGAGTAAGACGAGGAATACAAGGAATAAGAGGAACCATACTAATAACAATAATATTCATACTTACAGAAAAATAATACGAATGATACTGATCCTATGAATACTAATAATAATAGCAACAACAATTATGCTACTAACAAGGCTGACACTAATACTAAGAAGAGGAGGAGGAGCAGGAGGAGGAAGAGGAGGAAGAGGAGGAGAACGAGGACGAGGACGAGGACGAGGACGAGGACGAGGACGAGGAGGAGGGGACGAGGACAAGGACGAGGACGAGGACGATGATGATGATGATGATGATGATGATGATGATGATGATGATGATGATGATGATGATGATGATGATGATGATGATGATGATGATGATGATGATGATGATGATGATGATGATGATGATGAAGATGATGAAGATGATGATGATGATGATGATGATGATGATGATGATGATGATGATGATGATGATGATGATGATGATGATGATGATGATGATCATGATGATGATGAAGATGATGATGATGATGATGATGATGATGATGATGATGATGATGATGATGATGATGATGATGATGATGATGATGATGCGATGATGCTGATGCTGATGCTGAGGAGGAGGAGGAGGAGGAGGAGGAGGAGGAGGAGGAGGTCTGAAATCGGTCTCGTGACCGTGGAGATGCACGAGAGGTGCCTTTTGGAGCTTCTGGCGCCCCAGAGGCCGCCGCCGCCGCTCGACCCACGGCAGGGTCAGCGGGCGTCCGGGGGGTTGCTAGAGGTGCTCCTGGCCCAAGGTGTCCCAGGCTTCTCGCGCTGGCCTGGGGCCACTGGGCCCCCCCCCCCCCCCCCTCCCCCTCCCCCTCCCCCTCCCCCTCCTCCTCCCCCTCGTGGGGGCCTCCTTGGGAATCCTGAGGGCACAATTGGTCCAGGGCCACCTCCTGGCCGCGCCCGAGACTGAGGCGAGGGCTCGGCTCCTGGGCCTGAAGGTTTGCCCCGGGCTCATACGCAGCCCGCGCGGCATCACCGGAGACCTGCAGCCGCTAGCCGCCGCCCAGCCCCAGACACCCTTCGCCATGAAGCAAGCGGGTTCTGAGGGAACTGGGTCTCGGAGGCTTTGGCCCGCTTTTCGGGCCCTCGGGGCCCTCCGTGGGCCGCGATCTCGTCAAGCACTGGCTCGGGACGGAACGCTGCTCCTGGGGGAAGGCCCTGCGGTGCAGGATCCGCTTCCGTCAGGACCCGTCTGCTTCGCTCGGGGGCGGACAGAACCCCCAATAGTGACACGTCGATTAGTGAATTGTCCGTTTTCGGTTCTCGAGAGTTCGCCGCGGCCGTTCTTTTCCAGGCTTGCGCCCGCCAGGTTTGAGTCTCAGGTCGTTTTCACCAAACCACGTTTTACTAAAGGGAGGTCTGTCCATCCCCGATTCACGCCAAACCATTCGCCACAAGGGCCGACGATTTTGGTGGCGCTACCGTCCGCTCTGGGCCTCGTGGGGCCTTCGGGTGACCTCGGGGCGCTGGCGCCCGCCAGGAGCCTTGCCGCCCTCGGACGTCGGATCTGCTGTTCACACACGTGCTCTTCCGCCCTCGGGTCCCTCCGGCTTGGCATCGCTCTGACGTGTGCATTTTTTCTCGGCGAGAACCATCGAGGAACATCCTTGATCATTTGGCGAAACAACCACGCACGAAACCGAACAAAAACACAGGGAATGGACGTCCGAGCGATGGCCAGCAGGTTGCACTGCCGCTCCAACCGTCCGTGCCCGCCCCTCACAGTCAAGGCGTTGAGAAAAGGATAGTCTTGGGCTCGGGCGGGGCTCTCGTGTTCGGTCCGTTCCGGATACCTAGCTCGTTGAACCTGTTCGTGGCCGAGGCTCGCCGTGGCCTCGTTCTTTAGAGTGGCACGACGACTGTACGTTGTAACTTCGAGTGTCCGTGCCTGTCATGTAGGTGGCGTTTTGTGTCCCATGGCTGATGCGTGTCGACGTGATGAGTCGTGGACCCGACGCGCTCAGCGGCGCGATAGGGCGGACAAGGCCCCCCCAAGACGCAACATGCGTCCTGGGCTCGGGAGAGGCGAATTCATCAGTGCCCACAAGCCTCCGCAGGCTTAGTCTGGGCCCAGAGGTGGTTGGTGGTGGACCTGATCGGCTCCCGGCGGGCTGGGAGGCCGCATCCGCATGCACCACGATCCTGGCCATGCGTGACCTGCGGGGGCCTGGTGGTGCTGGTCATTCCCCTCTCCCCGTAGACCCCGGGCTGGCGTGAAAGCTCCCTTGCAGCCGTCGCTGTCGCCGTCATGGTCGTCGTCGTCGTCGTGGTCGTCCATCGTCTGCTGTCTGGGGCCCAGGACCTGTCTCGGCAGGTCTGGCGGCGGCGTGTGGCTGCATGCTCCAGAGGCGTATAACTGGTTGCACGCTTCCTCGGCGCAGCGGCGAGACCGGCCGTGCGCCGAACTCGTTCCCTCCCATTTCGCATGATGATCATTAACACCTAGACCTCTGGCGACAGGAACAATCGCCACTGTGGTGTCTCTCGACTCTTACTCCTCTCCACTATTAGCTCTCGGGCTTTGGGATGGGGAGCGGTTCTCTCACACTCCGTTGCTCCTGACGTTGGGCTTGATCGGCTTGCGCCGCTAAGGGTCATTGCCCAAGCCCAGAGCCTCCTTCTGGCTGGGAGCGGTGTATCTGTGTGTTTGGCCGTCCGTCTGTCCTTTCGTCGGTCTGTGTTTCGTCGCAGGTTCGTCCCGTCGTATCGGCCTCGTCGCTCCCTGTCTCTACTGGGAAGGTCCGCTGAGGCCCAGGTTGGTCCGTCGAGATTCGGAGAGAAAGAAGAAAGGGGGGGATTGTGAAAGGGGGGGCTACGAAATCTGCTGCACGCAGCTGGTTTCGGCCTCGCCGCCAGGCCCACCCCTCGATGCACAGGCGCCTCCCGGGCGCCGGGAGGCGCCGGGAAAGCCAGCTGCTTGAGCTGATTCTGACCCCCCCCCTTTGCTTCAGGAGCAACAGAAGGACGTACACGTACATGAATCTACGCTGGTTTCGAGGGTACGCATTGCGCAAATGTTTGTGTAACGCGGCCAGTCTCGCGGACCAAGGGGCCGTATTCATGTACATAGCTGGGCGCGTACGTCCTTTCTGGGCTCCCTATTGCTATCCCCCCCCTTTCGCCCGACCCGATATTGGCCTGGTCGGCCACCGCTGGGCAGTCTGGCGGCTCCGCCCCCCGCCCCCCCCCCCCCCGCATCGCCGAGGGAGGCGCCCGCGGGCCTCGGGCCCTGGGCCCTGCCGCTGCCTCGCCCCGGTTTGGCCACGCGCGGCGAGGGGTATAGGAGGAGGAGGAGGATGTGGAGGAGGAGGAGGAGAGGAGGAGGAGGGAAGAGGAGGAGGAGGAGGAGGAGGGAGGAGGAGGAGGAGGAGGAGGAGGAGGAGGAGGAGGATAGGAGGAGGAGGAGGATAGGAGGAGGAGGAGGAGGAGGAGGAGGAGGAGGAGGAGGAGGAGGCGGAGGAGGAGGAGGAGGAGGAGGAGGAGGAGGAGGAGGAGGAGGATGAGGAGGAGGAGGAGGAGGACGAGGTGGAGGAGGAGGAGGAGGGCGGAAGGCTGCTCAGCAGCGCCCCTGCTTCCTAGGAGGCGCGGAACGCAGGCGCCTTCTAGGAAGCAGCATGCCTCCAAGAAGCCCTCCCCCCCCCCCTCTTTTTCTGCCCCTCTCTGCGCACCGCCAACCGGTCCCTGAGTTCCGCTCGACGAGTGTGGCCGTTCAGGGCAAGGCGGGATCCTGGGGATGCGCCCCAACGGGGGCTAAGGGTACGCGCCCCCAGCGAGGGCGGGCGCCCCCCATCGTGTATCCCAGGGTTTGGCCGCAAGTGTCTGGTCTGTTCGAGAACAACACGAAGCCTGGGATACGGGTCGACATACAGTCGGGGCGCTGAAGAAGGAACCCTTTCTGTTGGGAGGGGCTCGGTGTTCCTTGATTGTTTCACAGCTTGCCTCAGGTTGTCCTTATGTTTCCGATGGGAAATCGGAGTTTAACTTGTAGAACAAAGGGGCCTCGTTCCTTATTTAGGGTTCCTTAGGTCAACGCCCCGACTGTATCCCCTGTCTGATCTGATAGAGGAAGGGTTCGACAGCTCCATGGGGCCAGCGGCAGGAACAGCCGGAGTCATCGGACGGGGTGGGCGACAGAGGGTATACGAGATGCGCCTTGGCGGGGTTCAGGGCCATTCGGTTTCAGGCAGAGGCGACGTGTGACGTACTCGAGCGCCGACCAATGCGTGGCACACTTTGAAGCAAGCGCGCACGACGTCCTCGCGTTGCAGAGGCCATGTCTGTTGAGCTCTGCCTTTATAACTTTGCTGTCTAATTTCAAAGGGCCTTCTGCTGCATCTGATTGCAAGGGCCCTCGATCGGGGGCGGAAAAGAGAGGGGTGATGACTAGGGGGGGGTGAATATCATGGCGTGGGCCATGATGTTTCCCCAGATTTCATGGCGCCTCTTCTTATTTCATGACGTCCCTGGCCCCCCCGCTGGGCCGCGCACATGCCGCCGGTCATGATTTGCACCCCCCCCGTTGGACACCCCCCTCTTGGCCGCTCCCGACTCGAACATTGACTTGTGCTGGATATCTTTCTGTTGCACCAACAGTTCGTACTGAATTATGTGTTGCTTTGCATGGCGCCTCTCCCCTCCGCTCCTTGATGTCCTTCAGTGTGGCACCGACAGGTCGTATGCAACGGAATTGGCTTTGCATGACGTCTCGCCCCTCCGCTCCATGCCCTCCGAACCTCATAACCCGCTGCTACCTCCTAGCGACCCCCTCATCTTCTCCTTCTTGCGATGCTTGCATTTTGCATGTTCGAAGCTAGCGGGTGTGTCTCGACTGAGCGACGTCGCTGGCCTTCATTCTTTTTGAGTTGTTTTCTGCCTGTTTGCGCTTGTTGTCGTAATGGTTGTATTTGTTGATGGACGCGTTCGTTGGCAGCCCGGTCCACTCCCCACACCAACACCAACACCCCAACGGACCTCCAGGGGGGCCTTCGGACCTCCTATGAGTCTCTTGGGGTGCCCGTGTTTGTGAAAGGGAGGCCTCGTAGGGATTCTTGAGGATTCTGAAATCATTATTCACGGCTTTCTGAAGGATTCCTAGAAAAGAGTTCTGAGGGTACTCTGGCAGGATGCCAGGGGATTCCTGAAAGATTCCTTTCGATTCCTGGAGGATTCCTGAATCCTTCATGGGGAATTTCTGAGGTTTCCGCAAGATTCCTGTGGATTCCTGAAGGATTCCTAAGGAGTCATTCGGCTTCTTGCGACTTCTGAAGGTCCCCTGGGTTTTTTGCAGGACTCGATTCCTGGAGAATTTCTGAGGAATCTCTGTCAGATTCCAGAATGATTACTGAGGGTTTCTTTTGGGGGGTCCTGAAGGATTCTGGAGGGTTCCTGAGGATTCCTCTGGATTCCTGAAGCTTCCAGCGGATTCCGGACGATGCTGAGGAATTTTTGAGGGTTCTTGAGGATGTCTGAGGATTCCTGAGGATGGCTAGGGATTCTGAAGGATTCCTCAAGGATTCCAGGGGTTTTGCAGGATCCTCGAAGGATTTATGAAGGATCCTTGACCGAGCCCTGAAGGATGCCTGACGTTTCCTGAAAGATGCCTGACGATTCCTGAGCAGTCCTGAGGATTCCGGAAGGATTCCTGAGGATTCCTGCGGTTTTCTCAGAGAGTCTTGACCGATTCGAAGAATTCCTGAGGATTCCTGAGGATTTCTGAAGAATTCCTGAGGATGCCTGCGGAGTCTTGGATGGTTCCTGAGGAATCGCTGCGAATTCTCTAGAGGATTACGGTGATTATGACGGTGATGATGGCTCTGGTGATGATGATGATGATGATGATGATGATGATGATGATGATGATGATGATGATGATGATGATGATGAGGATGAGGATGAGGATGAGGATGAGGATGAGGATGAGGATGAGGATGATGATGATGAGGATGAGGATGAGGATGAGGATGAGGATGATGATGAGGATGATGATAACGATGATGATGATGCTGCTGCTGATGATCATGATGACGACAGCGATGATGATGATGCTGATGACGTTGATGATGATGATTATGATGATGAGGTCGATGATGAAGATGTTGATGATGGTGATGAGGATGATGATGACGATGCTGATAATGCTGTTTCCGCTGATGATGCTGATCATGATGATGGTGATGATGGTGATGCCAAGGAATATGCAGATGATGATGATGACGGTGATGATGATGCTGATGATGATCATGATGCTGCTGTTCATGACGTTTTTTGTTGTGGCGAGGATGATGATGACATTGATTGTATTCCACGTTATTCCGATGATGGTGATGACCCTGATGGGGATTGGACCGAGGATGATGATGTGGACTCCAATGATGATGACGATGCCGTTGACGATGATGACAATGAAGGTGCTGCTGGTGATTATGTGATGCTGATTGGTGATAAAGAAGAGGATTATGATGGTGATGGTGAGGAGGATGGACATGAGGATGACGTTGCTGATTGGGATGCTGGTGATGGTTACGATGATTATGATCATGGTGATGTTGATGCAGATGCCGATGGTGATGGGGGGTGATGGCGATGCTGATGCTGATGCTGATGCTGATGCTGACAAGGATGATGGTGATTATGCTGATACTGGTGGTGGTAGTGATCGCGATGATAGTGATGATATCGACGCGGAGGAGGTTGATGATCCAGGATGCAGGCACTAACAGGGGAAGGGAGGGGAGGACCGAGGATGAGGTTCCAGGATAATTTTGCACGAGTGGGTCTCAGGAGGTTGGGGGTCGATGGCTGCGGAAGAGGAAGAGGATGAGGACGAGGATGATCGAGGATATCCAAATGCCTGCGGCAAGCCACGCCAAGGCGCCAGCCCAGCATTCGGGGTTGCAACGTTTTGAGGCGGTGCTGGAGGCTGTGACGTGTGACATCTGGTTCTGAAAGGCTAGGGAGAGCCGTGATGGGGATGATGATGACTATTCGGATTGCAGGGATGATGATGGGGATGATGATGATGATGATGATGATGATGATGATGATGATGATTATGATGATGATGATGATGATGATGATGCTGCTGCTGCTGCTGATGATGATGATGATGATGATGATGATGATGATGATGATGATGCTGCTGATGATGATGATGATGATGATGATGATGATGATGCTGATGATGATGATGATGATGATGATGATGATGATGATGATGATGATGATTATGATGATGATGACGTTGATGATGATGATCATGATGATGATGATGATGATGATGATGATGATGATGATGATGATGATGATGATGCTGATGATGATGCTGATGATGATGATGGTGACGAGAATGAGGATTAGTGATGAGGACGAGGATGAGGGTGATGATGATGATGATGCTGATGATGGGGGGATTGGTGGGGATGATGGGGATGCTGACAATGATGATGAGGTTGGCGAGGATGAGGATGAGGACGAGAACGAGGAATATGATGATGGTGGTGATAATTCTGTTTCTGATCATGTTATCGGTGATCCTGATACTGATGATGATGAGGATGATGATGCTGCTACTTTTGATGTTGATGCTGATGCTGCTCAGGATGACGATGGCGATGCTGTCTATGCTGATGTTGATGATGATAGCGCGAGGTGATTATCATGATGATGCTGCTGATGATGATGCGAATGCTGATGATGATGGTGCTGATGATGCTGTTGATGATGGTGATGATGCTGATGCTGATGATGCGGCTGTTGATGAGGATGAAGATGAAGGGGATGCTGCTGCTGCTGATGACGATGATGATGCCGTTGTTGATGATGGTGGTGATGATGATGATGATGGTGATCATGAGGCGATGGGCATGAGGGCGATGCTGGTGCTGCTGATGATGATGCGTGTGATGATGATGATGATGATGATGATGATGATGATGATGATGATGATGATGATGATGATGGGAATCGTGATGGTGTTGACGATGTCTGTGCTTGTGCCGATGCTGGTGCTGATGCTGCTGATGATGCTGATGATGACGGTGATGTGGTGGATGTTATGTTCGATGAGGTTGATGTTTATGGTAGTGGTGTCAATGAGGATGATGGTGGGGATGACGATGGGGAGGATGATGATGAGGAGGAGGATGGTGGTGGTAATAACCTCTAGTGGCGACTCCTTAATCGAGAATCCGCGTTGAGGACATCTTAGTAAGGACTCCTTAGTAAGGAATCCCTGGTATGGACTCCTTCGTGAGGCATTCCTGGTGAAGAATCCTGTGATGGGAATTCTGAGGGACGAACCCTCGGCAGGAATTCAGATTAACGCAGCCATCGTATAGCGTCATTATCAAGGGATCCTCCGTATGTAACCCTTACAAAGAACCCTTAGCAGGGAGTTCTTTTGAAGGGGTCGCTCATAGGGGATCCTTGGATTTCCGATGGGGAATCGAAGTTTAACTTGTGGACAAAAGGGGCCTCGTTCCTTATTTAGGGTTCCTTAGGTCAACGCCCCGACGGTATGAGCTATCTTCTCCTCGTCCTGCCCCTCCTCCCGCTCCTTCTCCGGCGGCAGTGCGCAGCTGTGGCCTCGCCCACCCGACGGGCACCCGTCGAGGCTGCGCGCGCGGCCCCGCCTGGAGCACGGCCGGGTCAAGACTGGCCCCACTTACCAGCCTGGAACACATCCCTGTCCCTATGCTGGGCACCTCCTCATCACGATGCCAATCTTAGGGGTTCCCTTATTTTTTGAGGGCGAATCCCTAAGATTGCCATCGCCTTTTGGCGTGTCAGTCTTAGGGGTAGGGATACGTTCGAGGCTGGCAACCCACAGCGCCTGGCTGCTCCTCGGTGGTTCACGACAGGCCTCCTGCTCCTCCATCCTGCGGTGGGCTCGCGCCGCGTCGACCGGCGGCGGACCCTGCCGCCGGAGCGCAGCGCGGAGCGCCGCGGGCGACCCGGAGTCGGTCCATTCGAAGGAGCTTGGGCGCCGCGTAATGGGGGGGTCATAACTGGGGGGGTGGCGAGCGTGGTCCGAGAAGGTACCCAAACGGTACCTAAGCGAGCCCCCTGGGGCTCTGGAGGGGCCCGAAAGGGGCACGGAAGGGGACCTTTTCTGACCCCCCCATTTGAGACCCCCCCATTAAGCCACGCCCAAGGAGCGGCCATTCCAGAAACGGCCGATCGTTCAAGATGGAGCGATCCCCGCTGTGTCAGAAACCAACGCCGAAGTCGGCACGACACGAACCTTCCGTGCCAATCTACAAGGCCTGAAACATGCCCTCATTGCAGGATTGTTGCCACCTTGTCTCCATGCCGATCGCGATCCCCTCAGTTTCTGAGGGCGCATCCCTGTGCTCGCCATCGCCTCCTGCCTTGTCGATCTTGGGTGTAGGAGCAATCTCGAGACTGGCTACCAGTCCTCGTCTCGCACCCTGGGCCTTCTGAGTGCCTGACCACCCTCCTCTCCTTCTACTCAGCTTACTTCAGGAGGGAAAACAACACACACAGACACAATCAATCGTCGATTCCCCAGAAAATATGGGAAAATATGGGAAGTGTGGGGGGGAGGGGAGACAAAGACCCAGAGCATATATGAAAATATACGGGAATCCTGTTATCTGTGTGCATTTAATTGTGTGTCCTTGGGCCCCTTGCTACTCAGCTTGCTCTCCGGCGAGCGGACCTCCTGCTCCTGGCTGCCCCCCCCCCTCGCTGGTGCCATGGCCTCGGGGGCTCTCGCGTACGGCGCACCTCTTCGTGGCCGCGCCCTCGCGTTAATCAGGAGGGGAAAGAAACACACAGACACAATTAATCGGCGATTCCCCAGAAAATATGGGAAAATATGGGAAGTGGTGGGGAAGACAAAACCCCAGGAAATAAGGAAAATATGGGCGATATTTTTATTTGTGTGTATTTATTTGTGTGTCCCAGGGCCCCTTCAGTTAAGTCGGGCGTGTCCCTCACAGGGGGAGTATTCAAAAAAGTAGTAAAACAATTGTCTGGGGACGATTTTCTGACGGTTTTCGAGTACTTGGTGGGCATTTTTGTTTGAGTTTTTTTTTCGCCCAAAAAGTCCCCCTGTAGGGGGACACGTTCGACTTGACCTTAACTCGGGCCTCGACGTCGGCAGCGACGGCCCAGTTCTTTCCGCTGGTCCCTCCGGCGCGGTTCGAGGGCGGTCCATACCACGGCTCCCCTGCCTCTTGCCGCTCCGCTCTGGGCCCGCTCGCACGCCCTCCGGTGGGCCAGTCCGAAGGCCAGGTGGCCCGGCTCTCTCCAGGGGGCGCATCGTCCTCCAGTCGCCCACCGATCGACGAAGGGCGCCCGGTGGCCCCAGCCCTGGCCCAGCACATCTTGCGGATGCGGTAGCCCTGGCCTATCGTCGATCCGTCAGCGATGCATCATCGATTCCAGGTCTCAAGGGCGCCCTCGAGGGCGCGAAGTCATTCGCGCTTCGCGCTTCAGACTTCGGCTCCGATTCCTCTTCGTTCTGCTTTTTCTCCCCTGGGAGGCGGCGCGAGAGCGCGAAGCTATTCGCACTTCGCGCTTCGCGCTGCGCGAAGCGCGAAGTTGGGAGCCCTTGGGTATATATCTTCCCCCCGAGCCGGTCACCTCCGTCCGCACCGCCCCTGTCGCGAGGAGGGTTGTCAGAGGAGGCAGCGCAGGCCGCCCAGGTTGGGCCGCGCGTCAGAGCGGCCCCCTCGCGGCCCTCTGAGGCCGAGCACCAAACGTCACCCTTGTCTTGGCTCACTCCTGCGCGGAGCCTGCAAGTGGGGTACGAGCTGGTCCCCCTCATCCCTGGGCCTTTTGTCAGGAGGGAAAAACACACAGGCGCAAGTAATCGTCGATTCCCCGGAATATTGGGAAGTATGGGAAGCGGGGGGGAAGACGGAAACCAAGAAACATGTCGGGTCAAGCCAGTTTGGCTCAAGTCTTCCGAATACAACTCGCTCACTATGTCACTTTCATGTCCCCCATCAATAACTCACTCGAGTCGGCCTGTGATGTCGAAGGACGGTGCACGCAAGGGTGCAGTTTCTGTGGGCAGCTCACCAGAGACTGAAGAGCTGAAGACTGATTCAAACACAGACAAGATGACGAAATACGAGAAGACCAACTGGATCTACGACATGCTGTCGGACCTATCCGGGACTCAGCCCAGACGAACTCGGTTGCGAACACCGCAGGTGCCATAGCAGAGGAAGCAATCACGGCCGTGACGGCGGGCAGGGCGACAGTTCAACGCGTCGAGGCATCTAACGCCCCAATTCCCAGTAAGCTTTGTTGGAGCCAAAAACGCAAACCAGATGTGGAAGGTGATGGGGGAAGTTAGTTTGAGATGGTGAGAACATGTTGGAATGCGCGTCGGGGTGTAGCAGGATGCGCGGGCGTGTGGAAGGCGGCGAGCGTGCGGGGGAGTTTTGGCGACCCTGTGGAACATGATTGCGCATGGGGGAGAGGGGGCGGGGGTGCGGAAGTTGGGAAGACTATAGGGCAGTTGGGAATGACATGGGGGAGATGGGACGGAGGTGGGGGGTTGGGAAGACCATGGGCAAGTTGGGAATGTCATGGGGAAGCTGGGACGGACATGAGGAAGTTTTGGGGGGGCGCGGAGGAAACGCGAGGAATATGGGAAAGACATGGAAGAATTCACCTGGACAGCTGGGAGGGGGAGCGTGGTTCACGCGGAAATTCAAAAGAGGCGCGTGGAGGATTGGCGGGAGGACGGGTGAAGGCGATGTGGCCCAGGGGACGGTTTGGATGGCGCGGACATTTGCTGAACATGAAATGGAGCGGGTTGGGGCGGGGGGCGATTGGCGCGGGGGAGGTCTTGTGGGCTGGATGCGCCTGAGAAAGGAGTGATTTGGTGAAAACACACCAATAGCAAAATACGGTTTCGTGGACCACGGGAGGTACGATGAGGTTGGAGGTCATCCGGGGTAAGGAGGGATCCCGATCCGATCCGATTTCGACGTCGGTGTTCCGATTCATTTCGTTCCGATCCAAATCGATTTCTTGTTAGAAGCTCCGATTGGTCTTGGTGTGCGCGGATTGCACGAACCTTGGTTTCGCTGCGCGCACATGGCAGGCTTATCAGTGCAGTGGCACGCGCCAAAAGAAACTGCCGTGTGTCGCGCGCTGAAACAAGCAAACGGCACCCTGAAATGCAAGTCATGCAAATCATGCGCGTTCGGGTGGCCGTTTTGGAGATGGACTTTGCAATGGCGCTGCACGACCCGAAAACCGTGGAAGGAGGACCTGGCAGGAAAGTTTGAAGGAGGGCGACGATTATGATAAGGAGGATGCGGAAATAAGGGCGAGGAGGAGGAGGAGGAGGAGGAGGAGGAGGAGGAGGAGGAGGAGAAAAGGTGTTCTGCGGGCTCCCACGCTGTCAAATATCGAGGGGCATTCGGCCTGCCCCGCCACTGCGTATTGGTTGTGGGTCAGATTATTCAGGGAGCTTTGTGGGGCTCTCTTCCCGGTCACTTTCCTAGGACCGTTTTATGAAGCCTGTCGGGGGCCTCTTGGGAGCAGTTTTGAAGCCTCGTGGGGCTCGTTTTGGGCCCTTTGGGCGCGTCTTTGGGGGCCCCTTGGAGCCTTTTTGGGGGCCTCTTGAGGGCTCTGGGGTGCATCTTGGGGTGGGGAGCTCGAATGGTCGGTCCAGGCCCCCGCTCTTGGGCCCTTCGTGGGGCAGTCTTGGGGCTCTCCTGGGCCTTATTGGGCGCGCCTATGGCCGTGAGCCTTGGGTCGTTTTGGGGCTACCCACCGGTCGTTGAAAGTAGGTATTTTTGGATTCCCAGATTCCAATCTACTTTCAGCGCCTTCCTACTTCAAGAGTCGAATGGTTTTCCCTCTTCCTTCCTCTTCAGGAGGCGGGCGGAAACCCAATCTATTTCCAACGCCTTCCTACTTCATGTTTCTACCTACTTCTTCCGACCGATGGGTATTCTGGGAACCTCATGGGGCGGTCTTGGGGGCTTCTTGGGCCGTCTTCACGCCGTGGAGGGCGAAGAGTCGTACATGCTACGTTTTCCAAAAGAGATTTGAGGATGTCGTTTTTCGACGCCATGGTGGGAGGCCTCTTGGAGGCTCTGTGGGGCGCCTTGGGGGCGTCCTGGGCCGTTTGGAGGCCATCTTGGGCGTGTTGGAACGCTCTTTCAGCGACCGGGGGCCTTCTTGGATTGTCTTGGGTGCGTCTTGGAGCTCTCGTGGGTCGTCGGGGAGCCGTCTACCCCCCCATGCCGCGTTCGGCCCGGGGCCGTACGCGGCCATGGGGGGGGGGTGAATTCCCAGATTGGGGTCCATGGGGGGGGGATCATGGGGGGGAGGAATCTCACACGCCCAGAGACCCACAAGGGGTCGGCGAATTTTCCCATGTGCAATCCTGGACCGTTATTCAAGCCGCGCCCAGCCCTAGCCACCATAGGGACCCCGAAGGCCCCCCAAAGGGATAATATATATATACATAGATATTGAGCTCGACGCAGCATCGTCGTCGTGCCGAGACGATCGGCGCGTTTGTGCTGCGCTATTCAGCTTATTGAGCCTGCAGAGCGGGAGTCACGGCGGGCCCCGACGGGGAAACTCGCATGCAGATTTGCAATCAGTGGCTTCTCGAGATAATGGCTGCTTTCGCGAGGTCTGCACCAGTCGTTGCGTTCCTGGAGGGGGGGGGGCGTTTCAGCATATGCAGTGCGTGAGGGGTGTGCCTAAGTGAAGTTCCTTGAGTTTGATTTGGGGGGCAGCTACGGGCCTCTAGGCGTCCGTGGGGCGTCGAGTGCGCGAAGGGCGTTCCCAATTGAGATGTCCTTGGGCCATGTTGAGACTCCGTTGAGTTTTTGTTCCGAGGATGTATGATTGCAAAAAAACGAAGGATTGCAAAACAAACCCGAAGGATTGCAAAAAACCGAGTTTTTTTTTTTTTTTTTTTTTTTTTTGTTTGTTGCAATCCTGGGTTTTTCTGCAATCCTTTGTTTTTTTTGCAATCCTTCGCGAAAGTGTGTGTGGCGAAAGTGTGTGTGCTTGTACGAAGCCGATGTGTCGAGGATGAATCCAGCGAAGTGGTATTACTTGAGACAAGGAGCTCCCTTCGAAACCGATGTTTCGAGGATGTGTCCAGCGAATATGAGAGGCGTTGATGTACGACTCCCCTCCGGAACAGTTTGTTCGATACACTCTAGCGAAAGCGCGATTTTTTTGATTCGGAGTCTCCGAGACCGTTTTTTGTCCGAGGACGTCTCATGCGCAAGTTGCTCTTTGTGTGAGAGTACAAGCGCTCGAGCCCTGCTCGAAACATCATCGACCAGCGGAATGCGCGAGGCTGCTCATAGCATGCTATTTTGCATGCATCTCACCATCCTCCATTTCGCCATCACATCGTCATCTGCCTGTCAAGGCTAACGCGGCTGAGGCCCACCCGCGGCGGTGGGTGTTGGTGGCTTCCTGAAACTGTCGCGTTAAACTCGTTTGGGAAGCAGCATTGGCAGGGTAGTTGCGTGGCAACGCACAACGGATATCTGAATCAGTTCAATAGTACAGCCCGCCACTATGCATGGATTGTGGGCCAGAGGTGTGTTGAGAGCCTCTCGGGCTCTCTGCGGATGTCTGTCGAAAGCCGCTTGGGGACGCATTTACAGCTCTTTTGGGGGCTCTTGGAGGGCTCTTGGGGCATGTTGGCATCCTCGTGCTCGTGCCAAGTGATATATTTGCGGGGGGGCCTCCGTGAAATCATGTTCTCTTCCTCTTTTTGTGTCTCTCTCTCTCTGTGCCACTCGGCCAGACGCCGTAACCGCGGGCCCCCATCCTCCCCAGCTTCTCCCAGACGCGCCGCGCCGCCCCTTGCCCTTAGCCCGAAGGTCCCGAGGACCCCCCGTGGACGAGACGGGCACCCGAACCCCCCAGACGGGCCCCAGAGCCCTCCGGCAGACGGGCCCCAGAGCCCCCCAACCTTAAGCCCCGGAGCCTCCCAGCCTTCGCCGGACGGGTCCCAGAGCCCCCTGGCCTTAACCGGAGGGGCCCCTGCCCCCCCGAGCCTTAGCCGGACGGGCCCCCGAGCCCCCCAGCCTTAGCCGGACGGGCCCCCGAGCCCCCGAACCTGAGCCGGACGGGCCCCGCAGCCCCCTGGCCCTGGCGGGAAGGGCCCCCAAGTTCGCCAGCCTTGGCCAGACGGGCCCCCGAGCCTCCCAGCTTTAGCAGAACGGCCCGGCCTTAGCCGGGCGGGCCCCTGGAGCCTCCGAGACGTAGCCAGACGGGCCAGCTTTTAGGCATGGTGGCCAGACGGGCCCAGAGCCCCCCACAGTTTGGCCCGGCAGGCCCGGGGGCCCCTGGGTTTGGCCCGCCGCGGGGCGTCCCAGCGTCGGCCGGGCGAACCCTCCGATCCGCCGATTCAGGCCACGCAGCATACATGTAACATACACCCCGCCCGTCCCAAACGCGCCCTGGTGCTCCCGAGCTTCCCTCGAAATAACACGGACGTCGTGCTGGAGACACATTTCTTGACGCTGCGCGTCCCCCCCCCGCCAGTCTCTCACCCTTGGCCTTGGGGTGCCGTTCGGTAATACCGTTTGCTCCGTGCGTGACACCGCGCATCCTGCAGACCACTTGCCACTGGCATCACTGCCTTTCTCCACCGGTGGCCGACACCCTCTTGTCACTCGGCTCCTCTCTCCCCGCCTTGTTTCACTTCCTGAATCCCAGCGGACGCTGCCCAGGCCGCGCCGCGGGCCCCAAATCGCGGCGCTCTGCCGCCCTCCACCCGATGCGCGCACCTCCTGCCTTTGGATCCAGGTGCGCGCTTCGGCAATACCGTCCACCGCCTCTCCGCAGTGGACTCGCGGCCTCAGGCCCTACGTTAGTTGTCTCACCGCCAGGCCTTCCTGGCCTGTCAGTGGGCCACGGCTCGCCTGTCCACTGGCTTCCCCCTGGACTTTCTAACCGAACGATCGGCCTTCCGCCGTCACCCTGGACCTTTCAAACAAGAAGCACGGCCTTCCGCCGTCACCCTGGATCCATTGGCTCTGAGGGACACGTCTCGGGTACAAGGCGTCCTCGTCCCTCTGTGCTAGACGACTCGGTTGGGTATCGCTGGGCCACCTTAGATGCGCATACTCCTCGGGGTCTGCCGTGTATCGTGCTCTTCTGCGCCCTTCCACTCGTCGGATCTGGGCTGTCGCATCTCAGTGGTGGATGTTCTGTCTTGTCTTCATGCTCCACACCCTGGATGCGCTTCTTGCGTTGCGACTGGCTCGCCGTCAGCTTTTTCCGTTGGTCCCTGTTCCCAGTCAGCCTGTGGTACCCTTCAGGCTCCATGGATCGGTGCCCTCTGGACTCCCATTGCTGGACGGCTTCCTACCGCGACCCTGGATCAGTGGTTTTGTGGGACTTGCCTGGGTATACACGGTCTCGTTCCGCCTGTGCTCTCCGTCTCTTTGGACTGCGCTGTGACACTGTGGTGTGCACGCGCCGCGTTTCGACGGGTAGCGTGCATTAGGTGCCCTTCCACCCGCTGGGTCTGGGCTGAAACATCTCGGTGTGGTAATCTTCTCGGAACAATGATACACCTTGATGTCGTTCTGGCGCCGCGGCTCGCTGCCGCCGTCGGGATCCTCGTTGGACTTACCACTCCGTCGTCTGTGCTACCCGACAGGCTGGGGCTGACGTCCTCGGGTCGTTCCCTTGTCCGCACCTGGACGTTGGAACGTTATCGCGCCATTTTGGCTGCGCTAGGTCGTTTCGGTGCCTACCTCAGGCCTGTCGGACGCACCTGCATGCCCGTTCAGGGGCTGTCATGGCACCTGGATTGCATCGGCTTCGCCCCCCCTGGACGCTGTCGTGAGCCGCCTGATCCGCGGCCCTGCGCGCGTTAGGTAATTTAGTCGCGTCCGCGGCCCGTTCGCGACCTTCCGCCGCTGGCGCTTCCGCTTGCGGCTGTAATAAAAAAAGTCCCCCCCACCAGCCCAGAGGGGATGATGTGATAATATGCACGCATTCACATTGTGAAACAGCGCAGGCAACAAGGGCGAACCGAGCGATACTGATCCTGGTGCTGCTGCTGCTGCCGCTGATGCTGATGCTGATGGTGGTGATGCTGTTGATGGTGCTGCTGCTGGTATTGGTGGTGGTGCTGGTTCTGGTGCTGCTGATGCTGCTGCTGGTGCTGCTGCTGATGCTGCTGCTGGTGCTGCTGCTGCTGGTGTTGCTGGTGGTGGTGGTGGTGCTGCTGCTGCTGGTGCTGCTGGTGGTGCTGCTGGTGTTGGGGCTGCTGTTGGTGCTTCCGATGATGCTGCAGCTCCTGCTGGTGTTGGTTCTGGTGCTGCTGCTGGTGATGCTGCTGCTGGTGCTGCTGCTGGTGTTGCTGCTGCTGGTGTTGCTGGTGCTGTTGCTCCCTCGGGATCCTCTTGGGGCCCTCTTGGGGCTGTTTTGGAAGGTATTGGGGTCCCGATTGGGGCTCTTTTTGGGGGTCTTCCGTCTCAGGGCCCTCTTGAAGGCCTTTCGGAAGCCTTGGAGGGCCTTTTGGAGCTCTCTTGGAGGTCATCGGTAAGAGGAGGGGGGTGTTCGGTCTCCCCCCCCCCCCCCCCCCCCTTGGGAGCCCTCGTATCACCTCTTGGGGCACTCTGGGGGCTCTTTTGGGGAGTCTTGGGGTCTTCTTGGGGCCCTTTGGGCCCTCTTGAGGCCATCTTGGAGCCCTCTTGGGGCCCTCTTGGGAGCCCTGGAGTGCCCCATGGGGTCATCTTGGAGGCAATCCATCGACGGAGGGTGGGGATGACGATGCATCCCCCCTCTGGGACCCTAAGAACCGCCTCTTGGGCCCTCTCGGGGCGCGCTTGGTGCCGTCTTGGCCTCCTCCCCCTCCTCCTCTTCCTCCTCCTCCTCCTCCTCCTCCTCCTCCTCCTCCTCCTCCTCCTCCTCCTCCTCTTCCCCCTCCTCCTCCTCGTCCTCCTCCTCCTCCTCCCCATCCTCCTCCTCCTCCTCCTCGTCCTCCTCCTCCTCCCTGGGTGGGCGCCTGGCGCGCGCAGTGCAGCCTGCGGGGCCGTGGGCCGCGCGCGCCCCGCCCCTGGAAAAGAGGGGGGCCTGGGCGCGTGAACCCGCGCGCCGGCGCTTCGCGCTCCGGACCGCTCCGAGGGAGCACCCGGGACACCTCCGGGCTCGTGCTTGTATGACCTGGGTGTCCCTGGGCGCCCAGGGCCCCGACCTCCTCCCCCTCCTCCTCTCCCTCTCCTCCTCCTCCTCCTCCTCCTCTCCTCCTCCTCCTCCTCCTCCTCCTCCCTCCTCTCCTCCCCCCCTCCTCCTTCCACCTCCTCCTCCTCCTCCTCCTCCTCCTCCTCCTCCTCCTCCTCCTCTCCTCCTCCTCCCCCCTCCTCCTTCCTCCTCCTCCTCCCCTCCTCCTCTCTCCTCCCCTCCTCTACCTCCTCCTCCCCTCTCCTCCTCCTCCTCCTCTTCCTCTTCCTCCTCCTCCTCCTCCTCCTCCTCCTCCTCCTCCTCATCCTCCTCCTACCTCCTCCTCCTCCTCCCTCCTCTCCTTCCTCCTCCTTCCTCCTCCTTCTCCTCCTCCTCCCCCCTCTCCTTCCTCCTCCTTCCTCCTCCTCCTCCTCCTCCCTCTTCTCTTTTCGGGCCGAACGAAAGGGGGGGATCGGGAAAGCGGGGGTTACGAAATCTGCTGCGTGCAGCTGGTTCCAGCCCCGCCGCCAGGCCCATTCCTCGATACTCGGGCGCCTCCAGCGCCGGGAGGCGCCGCGCAAATCAGCTACGCGAGCTGATTCTCACCCCCCCCCTGTGCTATCCCCCCTTTTCGCCGGGCCCGAATTTTGATCAGGAGGGAAAGTCGGAAGCTGGAACGTGTACATCACCAGTGACGGGCTGTTTTTCAATCCCCAGATTTTTTGGGGGTCGGAAGCGACGTCGGGGTAGTGTGGTGTATATTTGTTTCTCCGTTTTCCCTCTGGAAACGACAAAACGTGTATACACCAGGATGCCGTATACACCAGAACCCGTTTTCTTGTGCGCATCTCATTGCGGGACCGGAAAAAAAGTATCGGTGTATAAAGTTCGGTTCCCTAGAACAAGAAACGCACAGACACAAGTCACAAGTCATCGTCGACTGTTGAGCTCACTATTTCCCGCTGGTGGCCAGGCCCCGGTCCGTCAATACGGCCGCCGAGAGAATCATGGGTGGACGTGCTGTGGAGCGAGGCGCGGTCGAACCGCGGCCGGCCCCGCACGGGGGGCCTGCCCCAACTCGACGAGGAAGCGTGCCGAGCAAGTCGTTTGTGGCTTCTACTGTTTTTTTGTGTTGGGGGGGGTGCAAGACTGATCGAGTCAGGAGGGGAACAAACACACAGGCACAATTCATCGTCCACTCCCAGGACAATATGGGAACATATGGGAACGGGGGGGGGAAGACCAAAACCCAGAACATATGGGAAAATAGGGGGAATCCTTTTATTTGTGTGTATTGGAGAGGCCTGACGGCCGGTGCTGCCGACCCTGATCGAAAGGGCTAGGAGTGGGAGGAGGAGGAGGAGGAGGAGGAGGAGGATGAGGAGGAGGTATTTGTGTGTCCTGGGGCCCCTTCGTCGAGGTGCGCTGGAACGCCGGACGCGGGAGCTCCCGGCCGGGGACGGCGCAAACTGGAGCTGGCCTCGGCCCACGAGTGCAGCTCTCTCGGGCGCGCACCGCTCCACGGGCAAGGGGGCCCCCACGTGTTGAGTCGGGCTTGTCCCCCTACAGGGGGAGTTTTCGGAGTCCTAGAGATTGACACCAACACCAGTATCGGCGGTGTGCCTCCACCCAGGGAAGACGATCCCGATTTCGGTGATGGTGGTAATATTCTGGCTTCCAAGGTGGCCGAAATATTTCCACCAACACCGAATTCTAGGATCGTCTCCACCCTGTGGAGGCAGCCCCGTGTCTTGGTGTTGGTGCACATTTCCAGGCCTCCCAACGTTTCGACGAACCATGAAAAAGACACTGAAAATAGGCAAAAAAGCGTCCCCAAAAAATAGCCTGGGGACTGCTTTTTGTATTCTTGGGGCCTTTTTGGGGGCATGTCTGGTGTGCTGTTTTACCTTTCGTCGCACATCCCCCTTGTATGGGGGAGAGGCCCGACTTGACCCCCGTTGAGTATTTCTTGGCCTCTTTGGGGGCATGTTTTGTGTGTTGTTTTATCTTTCGCCGCAACTCCCCGACGCGACCCAGGTGTTCCCGGGCACCCCGCGCGCCCTTTGGTCGGGCCGGGCGAAAGGGGGGGATTGGGAAAGCGGGGGTTACGAAATGTGCTGCATGCAGCTGGTTTCGGCCTCGCCGAGGGGGCCCCTTCCTCGATACATGGGCGCCTCCGGCGCGGGGAGGCGCCGGGACAATCAGCTACGTGAGCTGATGCTCAACCCCCCCCTGTGCTATCCCCCCTTTTCGCCGGGCCCGAATTTTGATCAGGAGGGAAAGTCGGAAGCTGGAACGTGTACATTACCAGTGACGAGCTGATTCTCAAACCCCCCTGTGCTATCCTCCCCTTTCGCCCGACCCGATTTGGGCCCCCCGCGGCGCTCCCGCGGGCCCAGGCTCTCGGCCGCGCCCGCCGCCTCCTCGCACGGGCGGGCTTCTGCAGGGCGCGTCGCGGGCGCCTGGGCGAGCGCGTGCTCTCCGCGCCCACCTCGCGAGCGTCTTTCAAAGCAGCCTTGACGTTTCCCTCCTCCTTCCTCCCTCCCTCCTCCTCCTCCCTCCTCCTCCCTCCTCTTCGTCCTCCTCCTCCTCCTCCTCCTCCCTCCTCCTCTTCCTCCTCCTCCTCCGCCGCCGCAAGTGTCTTTCGAGTATGTTCTGAGGTTTCATGACGTCGGAGGTCCAGGCTCGGAAGGCCCTGGGCGGACGGCAGCCAAGGGGGTGGTCGCGATCTCACCCCAGGTGGGCCCCTTCTCAGGCCAGGGCCCTCGAGCAGCGCCGATGCTTCCCCCCCTCCCCCCTTCCGTCCTTCCCTTTCGCTCCTGTCTGCACCCTCCTCGCCCTCGCTCCTCCCGTTTCTGCTATCGCTCCTCCCGCTGCCTTCCCCGTCTGGCCCTTCGCCGTGCCTCTCCGTCTCCCTCTCCTGTTACCCTCCCGAGGTCTTATCTCGTTCATCCTCGTTCCTTCCCCCCTCCCTCCCACACTTACACTACCTTCGGATGCAACTCCTGGGAGGTCAAATTCTGATCTAGCCCTGGTCCGAAATCCGGCTTAATCCCGCTTGGTCCGGCTTCTTCCCGCTTGATCCCGCTTAATCCCGCTTAATCCTGCTTAGTCCGAGGCCCATTCCGGCCCCAAATGGGGCTTAATCCTCTTTAATTTTTCCGACGAAAACCTCCCAGTAGTTGCCTCCTAACACTACCCCTGTGTCCTCTTCCCACTCGTCCCTTGGTAAGTTGGGTAGACTTTGGTATCGAATCCGTAGCGTTAACGAAAACGTGCAACCGACTCAGGCGCAGTGGCCAGCAAACTAGACTCATGTGAACGCAGCTGACAGGACCACAGTAATACTCCGCCTGAACGTGGAGTATGTGCTTACCTGGTGTGGCGAGGAGGTGATGGAGGCGAAGATGGTCCGCTAAGTGTTGGTAGCATGTTCAGTGGAGTCAGGAGGGGAATACTTAACTTGGAAGAGCTGACACTGGGCAGCAGCTGGAGCCGGTGGGATGGGCTGCTGTCAGTGTGCTGTAGGCGCGCTTGGAGTAGCCAAAGGGACTTGCGCGAGCGTGCGCGAATGTACGTGGCACCCTGCAGTCGCGGATGAGAGTGACGGGGGCGGCGGGGACGTCTGCAGTCTGCGAGTCTCTGAAGAAGCCCGCCGCGGGCGCCCAATTTTTCTAAACTGCACAGCGGGCCCGCCGCAGGCGCCGATTTTTGTTGATGAAGCAATGCGGGTGGGTCTCGGGCCATGTCGCGGTACGGTCGCGGGACGGCCGCGGGTGGGTCGCGGGTGGGTCGCGGGTTGGTCGCGTGACGGCTGCGGGTGGGTCGCGGGGTGGGTCGCGCGGGCGGGTCGCGGGCCGGGTCGCGGGTGGGTCGCGGGCCGGGTCGCGGGTGAGTCGCGGGCCAGGTCGCGGGGGGGACGACGCCAAACAGCGACAATGCGGACAACAGCACCACGACCACCACCAGCAACAACAACAACACCACCACCACCACCACCACCACCACCACCACCACCACCACCACCACTTTGAACAACTCTAGCAACAACATCACCAGCAACAACACCACCAACAACACCAACACCAACACCAACAGCAACAGCAACACTCACAACAACAGCACCACCACCACAACATCAACACCATCACCAACACCAATATCAACAACACCAACCAAAAAACCAAGCAAGCACACAAACAACCAAACACACAAACAAACAAACAAACAATAACAATACTCCGCATCGCGGAATCTCATTTCAGCCACGCATTCAGGGACAGTGAATGACCGTTCGGCCCCCTCACTCTGATCTGAACGTCAGGAGGTCGTCGTGTGAAACTCCCGACGTGTCATGAGCCTCAAGTATCTCCAAGGGCTGTCGTAGAGACTCTTTCTCCTCCTCCCTTCCTCTCCCTCCCACCTACTCCCTCCTCCCTTTTCCTTGCACCCTCCTCAATCCTGCCGTCTCCCTCCTCCTCCCTGTTCCTTCCTCCATCTTGTCTCTGAATAATATGCTTCTCCCCCGCGTAGCGCCTCCTTTATCGTCCTCTTCCAGGTCTCCCTGCCCCTCCTCCCCCTCCTCCTCCTCGTCCTTGTCCCCGTCGGTTTTCTCATCTTCCCTCCTCGACCTCCGCTTCCTCGTTCTCATCGTTCTGACCCTCGTCCTTTGCCCCTTGTCCTCATGGCCGTCGTCGCCGTCCTTCCCTTCCTCCGCCCTGCCCCCGCCCGCTCCGTCCTGCCCGCCCCTCCTGCTCATGGTCGCCGCCGCCTGTCGCCGTCCTCCTCGCCGGCACGGCCGCCGCCTGGACCCGTCCTGGGACGTGCTGTGACCAGCACGTCGAGGCGGACTCCGCAGTTGCGACGACGGCCCTCGGAGCGAGAATCCTTTACAGTCAAAAACCCTGGTAAGGACGCGCAACTTTGCTCAGGGTACCCTTGCGTCCTTGCTCTTCCTTGCTCCTGCGTCCCGGTCCTCTCCCAGCCCGAGGGCTCGAACATCTCGCGGTGCGCTGGTTTCGGGGCGGGTGTCCTGCCACGCACTTCCCCCGCCCATGCGCGTGGCGTTTGGCTCCTCGGCAGGCGGGTTTGAGAGTGCGCGGCCCCAGAAGGCCCGCCCCCTTCCGCTGGGGGCAGTTGTCGGCGCCGCGCCAGGACTCGCCGCACGCCAACGCTGCGGTGAAGCTCGCGGAGGGCGTCAGCGGATCGATGCGCCTCCTCCCGGCAGAGGGGGGCGTCGGGGCGGCCTGGGAGCGCCAGTGCTCGGGATCACCAGGGCGGGACGGGAGGACATGTGGGAGGGAGGATGGGGCCGCAAGGACAGAAGAGGGAGGGCAGAGGGCGCGAGGGAGACGGGAGGGAGGAGGACGAAGCCGAGGAGGGAGGGAGGGATGGTGGGATCTCGAAGGAGAGATGGAGAGAGGACGCGGGATGGGAGCAGTGGGGAAGGAGGAGGAGAAAGAGTTGGAGGAGTTGGAAGATCATGATGAGGATATTGAGGAGGACGGTGTGGGTAGGGTGACAAGGACGGAGAGGACGCTGAGGAGGAAGAGGAAGATGATGTGGATGATGGTGGTGGTGGTGATGATGATGCTGATGATGATGATGCTGATGCTGATGCTGATGCTGCTGATGATGATGATGATGATGCTGATGATGATGATGATGATGATGATGATGATGATGAGATGATGATGATGATGATGATGATGATGATGATGATGATGATGATGAGATGATGATGATGATGAGGAGGAGGAGGAGGAGGAGGAGGAGGAGGAGGAGGAGGAGGAGGAGGAGGAGGAGGAGGAGGAGGGGGAGGAGAACGAGGGTGAGGGATGAGGAAGGACGGCGAGGCCGAGGCGGAGGAGAAGGATGATCATCGGGAGGAGGAGGAGAAGGAGGAGGAGGAGGAGGAGGAGGAGGAGGAGGAGGAGGAGGAGGGAGGAGGAGGGCGACATAAACGGGTGCGGCATAGGCGAGGGAGGCGGGGCAGGAGGGGCAGAGAGAGGGAGAGCTCGCGGAGCCTCCCTGCTCTCCTCGGGCCCCTGGGTGTGAGGCGAGCGGGGAGGGTGAGCGGTGGCGACGAGGAGGACGGAGGAGGAGGAGGAGGGAACAGGACGGAGGAGGAGGGAGGACGGAGGAGGACGGAGGAGGAGGACGGAGGGGAGGACGGAGGTGAACGGTGTTGGCGAGAGGGGGACGGAGGAGCATGAGCAGTTGCAGGATGAGGAGGACGAGGAGGAGGGGGAGGGAGTCCTGTGGCAGTCTTCCACGGTCTGCAAGACCAGGTGCCCAGAAGAGGAGGGCCCGAGCAGGACAGGGGATGAGGAAGGAGGATAATGAGAAGTAGGAGGAGTAGGAGGAGGAGAAGGAGGAGAAGGAGGATGGGGATAGGAGGGTAAAGAAGTGGAGCATGATTGAAGCGGAGGTCGAGGAGGAGGAGGAGGAGGAGGAGGAGGCGAAGGAGGAGGCGAAGGAGGAGGAGGAGGAGGAGGAGGAGGAGGAGACTGAGGAGGAGGAGAGTAGGAGGAGGAGGAGGAGGAGGAGGAGGAGGGAGGAGGGGGAGGAGGAGGAGGAGTTGGATAGGGAATGCGGGGGGGGGGGGGGGGGAGGACGATGTTGCGGAGGAGGGGGGAGGACGTAGACTGATGAAGAATCCCTTCTCCCCGTCCCCGTTGACTCTCCCGATGTTCGCTATTTTCCGCCTCCCTCCTCCTCTATCCGTCCCCTCCTCTTCCTGACTTTTCCTCTCCCTTGACACTTTTCCCAGCTTACGAAGACTACTCTCCTCTCGCCTCCCTCCCCTGACTTTGTCCACAACCTCCGGCCCTCTCCGCGCACTTGTTTTCGAACAGGATGTCAACAGTTTCAGGACGGTGCTCCCGCTGCAGCGCGGGCCCCATTTTTGGATCGGCGCTTTGCTCAAGTGCTTCAGAGTGGTGTTCTCGCCCCAGCGCGGGCCACTTTTCGGGATCGGAGTTTTTTCATCGTTGTCGCCCCCCTCATTTCCCTTCCTCTATCTTCCCCAGTCCTCCTGCTCCTTCCACTCCAGCTCCTGCTGCTGCTGCTGCTGCTGCCTTTCATTGCCCTCCGTCATCCTCATCCTCCTCCTCCTGCTCGTCCTCCTGCTCATCCGCCTCCACCTTCTCCTCCTCCTCCTCCTCCTGCTCCCCTTCGTCCTGTTCGCGCATAACACGACAGTGTCTTTCTGGGAGTTCCAGGTCCGCTATGACACACCTCCGCGGACCTGGAGACTATCAGCGCATAGGCAAGGGATGGGAGGACTGGGTAGGCCGCCAAATCATGTTGAACAGAAGAATCCTCCTCCTCCTCCTTCCCCGCTTCCTCCTCCTGCCCTCCTGATCCCCCCCTCTCGCCTCACCCGTCCTCTCCCGCACGTCCCAGCTGCCCGCCCCCCCTCGGGGGTCGGGGCGGGGGGGGGGGGGCTGGGCCCGAGCGGCGCCCGCGGGCGCAGAGCGGCGGCCTTGAAGAAGATCCCGCTCCACTCGCTGAAGGCCGCCCTGGTCGCCGCCGCCGCCGCCGTTGACCGCCCGCCGTGGCCGCGCGCCGCCGTCGCCGTCGCCGTCGACGCCGCTTTCCGTCGCCGTCGGCGTCGTCGTCGTGCGGTCTTCGGTGGCGGCTCGTCCAGTCAGGCGTTTCCCCCGGGCAGCGCTTGCGCTCACCAGGGGGTTGGCTCTTCACTGCCGTCCTCAGGACGGTCGGACCGAGGAATACGATCGAGGTCGGCTCGGGGAGGGTACCCGGATACCCTAG